CAATAAACACATTTATTAAGCACCTACTGTGATTATATCAATCAATAAACTTAATAATCAATAAACATGTATTTATCAAGTGCCTACTATGGGCCAGGCAGTACAGTTAGGTGCTGGAGACACAGATACAAAGAATGAAATCATTTCTCCTTGCAACAGAGGTTATGCTCTAATGGGGAGACAAATACATATAAAAAATACAGCATGAATATAATGCTGATAAATAGGAGCACATGCAAAGTAGTTAACTTATCCTTGGTTCTGTTTGCTTGCTCAACATGAGCAGCAGTGGCTGTGGTAACTCAGGAGCTGCCTGCCTCAGTCACATGAGCTACCTGACCTTGGGCAAACGCCCAAGATTCTCAGCTCCCAGGTCACTTTTAAGCATGTAAATTACAGATAGGCTGCTGTATCTGTGGAGGTAGCTTTCATACCGGAAGTCCCCACATGCATGAGAGCCCAGGTCCACACTGAAAAACCCACAGACCATCCATCTAAGGCCCGAGGTACCAACATTTCTGGACCTTAGTTTCCTCATCCTGAAAATGAGGCTGGACCTGATTAAATTTTAACATCCTTCCCCAACCTGAAATCTATGCTCCAATGAGGTTCCTGTGATATTCTGGTTAAATGCGTCAGCCTTGAATTGCCCTTCATTAAGTAGTAAGAATGCAATGAGGAGGGGCAAAATGGAAGTGATGACAATTTATACAATCATAAGTAGAAGCTGGCAGCTCTCGTTTTAATATCATTTCATGAGGGGGGCAATTTTAATGATAAAATCCTATACTGTAAAATTATAATTTGGTAACAAACACAAGAGGCCAAATGCCATTGTGGATGGAAGGCTGACCTAGGAGTCGAGAAAACCTACTTCTGATACAGTGACTGGGTGACCAATAACACATCGCTTAACCACCCAGTCCCCCGGGCATCAGTCACAAATGTTTGTCCATGAAGGAGCTTCCATACTGGGAGCCCCCAACACCAATGAAAATCCAGGGAAATAGTATTATGATAGACACACACATAATATATGCATGGGCATATACATACATAACATATGCATAGGCATAAATCCAAACATATGTGAATATCCACATATACCGACACATATACCATGTGATAATTTTGTGAAAAATGTCTAGTCGGGCTGAACTCAAAAAAAAAAAAAAATAGTATCTTAGACTCTAATTGGCCTAGTCATAATCAGTTATTATACATACTAAAAAGAATATATATATATACTATATACTACAGTATATATATAGAATATATATAGAACATATACTATATTCTAAAAAGAATCCTAAATGAACTAACCCCAAGAAGTTCATCGGGCCAGGGTTTCATGTCTATTGAAAGCCAGCCCCCAACACAAACTTTCTGGGGAATGTGGCAGCCTTAGTGCGGTGTATGCATCGCTTTGGGTTTCAGAAGTCCTGGGCTCTGCCACTATCTGTGTGACGCTGGGAAAGTCATTTAACCAATCTGTGTCTCTGCTTCTTCACCTGGAAATGAGGGAGGGATGAAATGAACCTTTTCAACACTATAATTCGGTAATTCTATGATTACTAGACGAGAAAAGAGAATATTTGCTATTCTTTCCCCATCAAAAAAAAAAACTAATAGGATTCTAAATGTAAAAGGATCATTTTGGAATTTTGCTGAATTATTATATACAAAAAAAAAATTTTTTTTTGGTCTAGACCTATGATTTCCTTGATGTAGAGAAGGAAATTTCAGTGTGGAACCTTCCTCCAAAACAACAGAGATCAGCAATCATCTGCTAATAGGTAACTGGGAGACTAAGAGGTTAAATAATAAAATTAAATAATAATAGCTAATACTTAGTATTTCCATGTCTGCAAAGTGCTTTAATCACTAACACAGGATTTAACATCAGGTCTTCCTGACTCCAAGGCCAGTACTCTAGGCACTGAACCACCTGAATGCCTAGATGGAAATGAGGAGTAAACATAATACAAATAAACAAAAGCATATTTACTTCACTTAATTCTTCGTCCACATTCTCATGAAGGGAATGGTTTATGTAGAAGAGTAAACCTCTCTCAGGGTTCTGTGATCCATCTTCTACTACTGAGTCTATCCTGGTCAAGACGTCAGTCATAGATAAACCAGACATCTTATAATAAGGCAGGGCCAGATGAGAATACTGAGTATCAAGTCTAAATGAAAAAACACATCATGAATGAATAGATGAATGAATGAATAAAGGACATCAAATTCCCAACATCTTAGAAGCCTTAAGCACAAACAGTAACAGGACAGGTGGCTCTTTCAAGAAGACCCTCAAAATTGCTTTCACTCTATATACCTATTAGTTGGTATAAAGGAGTTTTCCAACATATTTTTGTAATGCATTAAGTTAAACATCTTATTTTGCTTTGGGTTTGCTTATAATGAAATCCTAAAATTGTAGAATGGTTCATGATTGTACAGATGCTAACAAACACAGCATTAAATGTATGAACAAAAAATGTAGCTGGGCTGGCTTTATGACTCAAGCAAAGGATGGCCCATGTATGCCATTGGTATTTTAGTAGTGTCAACAGAAAATGAGAAAGGCCCTTGGAAAATTGGGTGGCCCTCGTGTGGAGAATTTACCAATCAACCAACAAGCATTTATTAAGCACCTACTATATTTCCATGAGGTGTGCTAGGGAGCTAACAATACAATATAATGAAGGAAACCACCCTACTGGCAAGGACCTTCCATTGTAATGGGGGAGACAATAAGAACCCACACAAATACTAAGTCATTAAAGACAATGTCATCTGGAAGGGAGGGCACTTGTAAGTGGGGGCAATGAGGAAAGTCTTTATTTAGAAAGTGGTGCTTGAGCTTTGTGGAAGGAAGAGGAGGAGGCGCTTTCCAGGCAGAGAAGGATGGCCAGTGCTAAGACATGGATGGAGGAGATAAGTGTTTTATGTGAGGAATAGTGAGAAAACCAGATTGGATCACAGAGTCCAGTAATGAGGAGTAACAGACCATGAAGCTGAAAAAGCAGGTAGGGGAAAGGTCATGAGGGAATTTTTTTTGTTTTGTTCTGTTTTTTTAATTTAAGCTGATGTTATAAGTAAAAAGATTAACATTAGGGGAAATAATTGGAAGACAAATTACTTTAGCATTCCAACCCCCTGTGATAATGAAAGACTTTAGACATTCAGCAGAGGAGTTTATATTGGACCCTAAAGGAAATACGGTGCCAGGGGAGTTTATTGAGGAGATGGAACAGTCAGATCTGTGCTTCTCTAGATCATTTTACAGATGAGGAAACTGAGGTAAACAGGGTTAAAGGACTTGCCCAGGGTCACACAGATAGTAAACGACTGAGGCTGGATTTTAACTCGGGTCTTCCTAACTCCAGGGCCAGAGTTCTATTCACTGCACTACCTAGCTGCCATTATAAAGTCAACAAAAGAGAGTGAGAAGGAATAGTCAGGTAGGAGGAGAACCAGGAAAGAGTACTGTCATGGGAAAGTGGTCAAACAGAACAGATATGTAGAGAAAGATGAAGACTAAGAAAGACAATTAGATTTGGCAATTCAGAGAACAATGGTAACTAAAGAGAGTAGTTTCAGTTGAGTGGTGAGGCTCAAATCCAGAGCTGAGGAGTGCTTAGGTATGTTTGAAGGCAGTAAGGAAAAACCAATAGATAGAAAGAGGCTGAAGATTAGAAAGAAAGAGGAGATGATGGAGGATGCAATCTACTGGAGAAGATGAGAAAGGATGAGGTCAAGGGCTCACTAGAAGAGCTGGTCTTGGTGAGAAGGACCACCTCACTGTCAAAGACTAGGGTAAAGGAGATGATGGCAATGGGTTTTGAAATGAAGAGACGGGGAGAAAAGGGAGCTTGTGTCAAAGGACCTCCATTTGCTCAGTAAATTAAGAGGTGGGTCCTTGGCTGAGTAAGGGGAGGGAGCAGGAGATGCAGGAGGCTTGAGAAAGAGAAGAAAAGATCTGTAATAGCTTTTACGGGGACTAAGATGGGGAAATCAATTAGGAAGAAATGAAAGAACTGCCTTATTGCAGTTAGGGCCCAGCTGAAGTTGCAGAACATTAACTAGCAAGAATCATTAACATGAATTTATAGAATGTACTCAAACAGCTCCCCCAGCTCTTTTGCCAGGCAGTATGGTAGTGGGGAAAAGCATGGTGAGAGTACTGGAGGGGTGAGGTCTGGCAGCAGATGAGAGGCAAAAGGATGAGGTGAGGGATTCAGGACAGGAGAACGTGGAGTTGAATGGACCCATTATAAGGTCAAGATTGGAAAGGGTGGAAAGTGAAGTCAGAGACTGTCCTGAGATTTCACTAGGAGGTAGAAGGATCAGAGGTCACAATGAGGCTAAAGAAGAGGTTTAGTAGAAGATGGAAGAATAAAATGTTATGGTCAGAATGCCAATTTTTGATCTATGGACTAGAAGACGTGTGAGAAAGGGTGAGATCCCAGGTGTGACCACCCCTGTATGTGGCTGGAGTGGAGTGAAGCAATAGGTCATCATATTCAAGAAAACCGAGGAATTATGAGACGAGGGAGCTTGAAGGACCATTAAAATGGAGGGTGAAGTCCCCGACTGCAAGAGCAGGAATTAGACAGGAACAGAAGGAAGTGAGCAGGTGCGGAACTCTTTGGAAAAGAGGGAGCCAGTATACAACGGCCACCATGATCTGGATTGGGTGGAAAATTTTAATTGAGTGAATTTCAAAGGAAGAAAATTCAGAGGAGGACATGTGCACACAAGATGGTAGGCATGGATGGGTTGAGGACTGCCTTGGTGGAGGAATACCATATTGATGAGAACACAGGTCCGTGAGACACCAATGAGACCAGTTTCTGAGCGTGGCTTTACAGCCATCAGGCCATCCTTCACACTGCTGCCATAACGATTCTCCCAAAGCACATATGTGACCATGTCACTCCTCTACTCAGTAAATTTAATTGGATTCCTAGGATCAAATATAACCTCCTTTGTTTGGCTTTTATGCCCTTCATAACCTGGTTCCAACCCATCTTTCCAGCCTTGTTATACATTACTCCCCCCACCACAATGTGTGATCCAAACCGGTCTTCTGTTCCCCACACATGACATGCCTTCTCCCATTTCTGTGTCTTTTCCTGGTTGTCCACCATGCATGGACAACACTCCCTCCACCTCATCTCCACTTTGTAGACTCCATTTCCATGGTGGTCACCTTCTACATGTACCCTTCCTCCTGCCCTCACTACTTTACACTTATTCATATTTCTTCTCTACATATTAACATGTACACTTTTTATCTCCCCAGTTAGATGGAAAATTCCCCCCAAGCTTCATATTTTGTACCTATAGCCCCATGCCTAGCACAGCACCTTCCAATGAGCAGAAGCTTAATAAATACTTGTTAATTGATTCATAATCATATTATGTCACAAGGGTCACAAAACGCCCTCAAATATAACAGAAAAAGCCTACTACATACTGATTAAAGGTGTGAGTCCTGCCCCCCAGCACTGCATGATGTTATAATTGTATCCACTTGGTTTAATCTCCTTTCAGCCACCAAACTGAGTGTCCCAGGGGCTTTCCCCTATTGTTACTGTTATTTTGTTTTGGCTTTTTTGGGGAGGGTGGGGAGAGAAGGGAGCCCACTCTGGTAGACAAACCTCAAAGCTCAAGTGACTGTGTACACCCTTCCTTTACCCAGACGCTTCCCTACCAGCTCCCACATCTAAAAAGACTCCAGGGCAGTAAGACAGCCCCTTGCCCACTCCCACAGTTCCAAGACAGCATCTTTCTGCCGAGAGTCACCAACCTGCTGTAACAGTCTCCCAGGTGCCCACAGCTTTCTCTGAAAGCTTCTAAGAGCTCCTCTTTCTCTCCGGGGTCAGTGATAGAGGGGTCCATCAGAGCGGCTCTCACTAACAGGTGGGCCTCACTGAGGAGATGAATGCAGCTCTGAGTTCTTACATTCCTGTAGGTCTTACTGTAGTCTACCTAGAACAGGGGGACAGGTGGGTCATGACGGCTACTGGGAAATGCCAACCCCATGAGTCTGAGCCACTCTTCAAACCACCCAAGGTAAGAGAAAGAAAATCTAAATTCCCCAGAAAATTAAAATTAAATATTAAAAGGAAAATGCCACTAATCCAGATTCTCCTAATTAGGAATTTGTGATAAGAGGTCACTGTATTCGTAAGATTTTACTACATGCTTAACAAGGTTAACTTGACTCATTGTGAGATAGTAATAGTCTCTTTTAATTGAGTTACAATTACTGTTAATACTATATATTCTTACGTTGTGAAATTTTCAATCATCCTTCAGAGAAGCATGGGAAGACTTATATAAACTGATGAAAGGGAAGTAAACAGAACCAGAAAGAAATACATACAATGAGTCTGACAATGTTTATGGAAAGAACCACTACAAAAAAGTGAAAATGAATGCTTTGTAATTATAAAAACCGAACTGAGCCCTGATGAAGAAATATGAGACTACACCTCCCTTCTTTTCTTTTCTTTTCTTTTTGGGAAGGGGCAGAGATGTGGAACTAAGTATAGAACACTACATATACTGTCAGACTTAGTTGATGCATCTGATAGTTTTGAACTGCTTTTAAAATCTTTTTTTATTCTTTGTTATAATGGATTATAACAAAGACTAAAATGCAGAGGAATAAAGAAGAGGGATTAAGAGGGATTTAAAATGTAATCCCTGTTAGAAGGAATTATAACAAAGAATAAAAAAGAGGGGGAGAGACTTTCAAAGAAATTAAGGTAACATAAGAACAAAAGAAAACATTAATTGACTGATTTTTAAAAGGAAAAAATACAATCTTTTTAACAGTCTGAAACACTAAAGGTTATTTCTGCATTAGCCATGAAAATTGTTGAAGTTTTCCACAGTCAAATAAGATTTCAATTTTCAATGTCAAATGAGATAGAGAAGGGTAAAGATTAAGTCTACTGAAATTTTCATGTACTTTTTAAGTACAACTCATAAAACTATTTCATATATCAACAATTAATGGGCTAATTAAAATAATCCACATCTATTTATTAAAATGAACCTATTTAGAAGAATACTGATAGTTATTCACTTGAAAGCAGTAACATTTCAATTCTTTTAACATTATTCTATAATCTAGTATTTTTTAATTCAGAATGGTCTTTCCATACATTGGTAGCAAACTGCTTAATTTCTGCCATTTGTATTTATAAAAGTCTCCATAAAGCTAAGTACAAGCTTCATAGAAAGGGCTGAGAACACTGGAAGGTTTTTCACTATTTTCTAAAAGTTAACTGAAAAGACCATCCTTGCCCTTTCAGACCACCATCTTAGACAGAGTCCCCATATTTCTACTTAGGAACAAAAGAAAACTAATGAGACACACTGAAGTACTATGGCCCTTGGTAGATTGTGGGCCTGTAACAGAAGGCTGGATCATAATTGGGTGGTTGTGGTGAAGTGATGGTGAAGTGGATAGATCGCAGGTCCTGGACTCAGAAGATCCTAATTCAAATGTGACCTTGGACACACACTCTAGCTGTGTGACCTTGGGCAAGTCACTTAACTGCCTTAGGTTCCTCATCTGTAAAATGGGGATAATAGTAGCACCTTTCCCCTAGGGTTGTTGTGGGGATAAAACAAGATATGTGTAAAGTACTTCATAAACTTTAAAGCACTATATAACACTAGCTACTGTTATTATTATTAGTAGTATATCCCAAGTGAAATATAATATAATACATTATGTAATATAATCATTTCTCCTCTTTAATTATCCCAGAAATTTTCATTTCCTATTCCTACCCACAGCAGAGACCACAGAATCATAGACATTTTGGTACATAGTAATCACTTAAATGCTTTTTCATTCATTTACCTGGAAGAGATTTAGAACTACAAACAATGTTAGAGTTCATTGAGTCTTGGAGTTTTTAACTTTGGGGTTCCATTAGCTTGTTTTTAAAAATATTTTGTTAACTGCACTTCATTATAACTGGTTTCTTTTTCAATCCTCTATATTTGATTCTATGCATTAAATTTTTTATTTTAAAAATTTGATTTTACGCACTATTCTGAAAAGAAGTCCACTGACTTTGTCAGACTGCCAAAGGGAACCACCCCACAAAAACAGGTTAAGAAACCCTGCTTCTAGTCTGAGTCTCCGACCCATTTCGTAGACGAAGACCCTCCAGGGAATTTAAGTCAGTGTACTGTCCATGTTCACAGTAATAATAAGTGACTGAGTCAGGACTGGACCTCAAAGTATCACTGCTTTCTCCACCACACCACATTGCCTTCTGGGGACCAACTCCTCCTTCAATTCCTTGAAGAAAATAAGGCATTAAACTAAATGATGTCTAAGTTCTCTTTCAGTTCTTACATTCTATGGTCTTTTCTTCTGAAGGAAAACACTAAGCTCACACCCAGTTGTATAGGGACCGAGGCTAGAATGGCCATTTTTCCTCTTAGTAGTATAAAGGTGAAAAGGGGGATTGGCCAATGAATGGAATAGTATTTATGAACTCTCCAGAAGAAACAGAAGGTAGAGAGAAGACAGCCACCCTACCTTTAAGGAATCTATCGGAAAGGCCAAGGCCCATGCAGCAGAGATGGGTCCCTCATAAAAACCTAGAGGCTGGTTGTCTGCAGCACTTTAATATGCAAATGGACATTGATTACTAATACCATCCATGAGAACCAGCAGCCCCAAACATACCATTTCTTTGTAGAGTTGCATAGTTGAAATCGTATTCACAATATATAAATTCCACCCAGCTTCCATCGCAGAAGGCGTCTTGAGTTTAACACTGCCATCTTTTCTGGAGCTGAAAGCAAATAACCAGATTTACAAGGATACCAAATATTTTATTCTTACAAATGGCTATTGTGAGTGGCTTAAAAAAAATTCCTTTCAATAAGTCTAACAATAATTTACAAACCATAATTTTTTTAAAATAAGTGAATTTTCTATTTTAAGTTGGGCTATACTGTAGTAGATTTGAATGCTGGATTTGCCTGGAGTCAGGAAGACCTAGAATGACCATTACTAGCAGTGTGGCCATGGGCAAGTCACTTAGCCTCATCTATAACATGGGAACGGTAACTGCTGGGCTTTGAGGCAATACAAAACGGAAGATAGCAATAATTTTTTTTAAAGAAAAAAATTACAACTGCACCCTTTCACAGAGTTGTGGTGAGGAGCATAGAGCATAATACGTGTGAAGTGCTTATATCAATTGTCCCCTACTTGTCCTCGACTATCCAACCAAACTTCGTTCACAGCACTCTGAACTCCTATCCCCTGCCTTTGCTCTAGCCATCCACCATGCCTGGAATACACTCCCTCCTCACTTCTGCCTCACGGCATCTCTCACTCCCTTCAACACAACTCAGGCATGACCTTTAGCATGAAGATTTTCCTGACCCCAACCACTGTTGCCTTGCATTTTTAACTCCATCCCTGGTATTTTTAACTCCTACATACTTATTTTTTCTTTATATTTATTTGACATATACTCATATGCCTACATTTTGTCTCATCTGAATCGATCAATCAGTTAATAAACATTTATTAAGTGCCTACTATGTATATTGTGCTAAGCAATGATAGAAAGTAAACTCCTTGAAAGTAGGGATTTATTTTAGTTCCTGGAACATAGTAGGCATTTATTAAATGCCTAGTGACTGATTCTAGACTTTGTAACTCCAACATCCACTGTTAAACCAATTATTTCTGACTTCTCCAAATTGTTGCTGACTTAGAAGGGCAGCTAAGTGATGAAAAAAAAATTCTCTGGCTCTTCACATTACATTTTGAAACTGAAGACATGCATAGGACTCCGTTCCTTTATCGCTACTAAGGCTCTGAGACAGGAAGCTTCCTAAACCAGAAGCGTGAAGACAAGCAACTCTACAGCTGCAGAGGCAGCAAACATTTGGGTGTATTTTTTTTGCAGCTGCCTAAGTATCTGAAAACTTTTTGAAAACAGAATGCTAAGTACTGTCTTCTCTTTAGCCTAAAAGTGATATTCCTAAATTTAAGAATTAAAATTAAGAATTTGCCTACGAATGCTTTCATGTAAATCCTAATTTGGGTCCTCTGGAGACACTTTTAAAAATTCATCTACACTGTTTCAATGTCCAGTATGCTAATCTTACAAACTGTACAAGACATACACAGACTAAAAAGCGCATACAGGATATGGAGTATATGAGCCTGCTAGACTGTCTAAGGCTAACAGATCTTGACAGCTTTTTGCTCCAGAGTAAGATAAGCCCTCACTGATAAGAGGCAACCTTTGATTTTCCAAGTTGGTACAGAAGAAAGAGAATTAGTATGAAGGATGCAAAAGTGAAAAGTCTTCCAAAATCCTGCACTTTGTTTCCCATGAACTATGCAGTTTCCCCCCCACAGGTCTATCTCTCTGAATATGTCTTCCTGGGAGGAATATTACAGTTAGTTTGCACTTTCTGGGTGAGGTAAGGGAGTGTTCCAGGGTGGTGACTCTAGTTGGACTTCTGGAAATGAGACAATTCATAGCTAGAATGCCTAGAGCAGATCATCAAAGCGCAACATGGCAGACAAGCGTCTTTTTGATATCTCAAAGTGGATGTCCTGTAGACACCTTAAACTTAACATGTCCAGAATTAAACTCATTATCTTTCCCCCAAATCCTCGTCTCAACCCAACTTCCTTATTATGATCAAGAGCACCACTATCCTTCCAGTCCCCTCCCCAGGGTTGGTCCCCTGGCCTCCAGTGTCTCCCCACTCTGATCCATCCTCCACTCAGCTTTCAAGCTGATTATTCTGAAGTACAGGTCTGACCGTGTCATTCTCCCCCAATCAACCAACTTAGTGATCCTTCTTGTCTCATTAAATCTTCTGTTTGGCTTTCAAAGCCCTTCACCACCTGGTCTATTCCTACCTTTCTGATCTTCTGCCTTCCATATACTCTATGAAGCATAGCGCTGTCCTTGGTGATCCATACACAAGACATTCCATCCCTAGGTTCTGTGCCTTTTCAGCAACACTCTCCTTGGCACTCCCCAATTTGGGATTTTCTTGGCAAAGACACTGGAGTGGTTCGCCATTTCCTTCTCCAGCTCATTTTACAGATGAGGAAACTGAGGCAGAGTTAAGTGACTTACCCAGGGTTACAGCTAGTAAGTGACCGAGGTCAGATCTGAATTCAGGTCTTTCTGACTCCAGGTCCAGCACTCCAGTCACTGCACCACCTATCTATCCCACATAGTAAGTGCTTACTAAATCCTTGATGATTTGATTTGACTTGAATACACACTCTACCTAGGTCATTAAGCTTTGAAGCAGACCTGAATATCTTGATCTGGGGTCCATAAGTGGGTTCGGGAATGAGAATACATTGTCACAATTCCTTCTTAATTAGAAAAAAATCCTCAAATTAAGAAGAAAAATAACTCAATCAATAAGCACTGATTAGGCACCTACTGTGTACCAGGCACTGCATCCTGGTGTTGAGCATACAAGAGCATACAACAGTCCCTTCTTGCATCGAACTAAAGGATCAAATATGAAAATAATAATCACTGAACTTTCAGTTTTGATATGATAAAGTTTTTGGTCTTCTTCCTTATTTGTTTTGCAAAAGACATCAATGTCCCCTAAGTTTTCAACTCTAAAAGCACTGATTTGTACTGGTGCATTCTTGTGTAAGATTCACTTCCCTCTTAGAATTCTGAGAGAAAGCCTCAGTAGAATTCGAATCCCTTCCTTCTGCTTTTTCTCCCCTCTAAATAAAAAGAACTCTCTAGAAGGTATTCAGTTAATTCTAAGTTCTGTAAAAATATATCTCATCATTTAAACTTGAAGGAAAAGAAAAAACTCTAAGGAATGGAAACAGCACTCTTTCAAAGAAACCAAAGAGGCAAAGAACCTACTTTCAGTCAGTAAAAACGTCCACTACAGTTTCTTTGAAAGGACTTCAAGATGACGTATGCCCACCTTGACAAAGAGGTGATGGACTCAAAGCATAGGCTGAGGCATACAACTTGGGGACGTGGCTAATGTGGGAATTTGTTTTGCTTGATGATGCATATTTGTTACAAAATTATTGGGGTTTCTTTTTTCCCCCCTAGTGGAATAGGGAGGAGTTAAAGGAAAAAAAAATACATTTTTGTTCATTGAAAAAAAATTAAGTTAAAAAAACAAAAACAAAAAAAAACTATAGGAGCTGTTTCTATTTATTTGAGTTTACCAGGAATTGTAAAGGAAAAATGAAGTAACAAAGAGATGTATGAGTGACAAAGGAGATGGGCTGGTCAACTGCAAAAAAAAATGGCATCACTGAGAGAAAGACTGTCATGTTCCACTGGCATCCAACCTATCAAGATGCCAGAGAATACCAGAAACATTCTCCGGCAGGTTGGATGGACCTTACCATATCATAGCCTTTAAGCTACAAGGAACTCCAGAAGTCATAGTGCAAACCCCTCATTTGCGGATGAGGAAACTGAGGTCCAGAAGTCAAATGACCTGCCCAAGGCCATAGACCTGGGGAGTGCTAGGGCTGGGATTCAAACTCAGTCCTTCTTCCTCTAGACCCAGTACAAAGGAAAACTGCCCAGGATGAGTAGTACTATAAGATGATCAGCTGGAGGGAGTACCCACATTAGTGAGATCACAGGTCCATTTGGCTACTTGGAAAATATACTTACAGTAGACTTTTCTTTCTTTCTGGGATATCTTCAGTACCCGCTTTGGTCAAAAGGATAACATGATTCTTAAAGTGACATATTGCTTTCAGTCCAATGAAGAGCTGCATTCTTAAGGCACAGATATCCAAACTAATAGGTGGACAAGCCTATAAAAGAAAAAAGAACTATCAGAAATCGGAAACAGTGACCATGTACCTAATTCTTCACAGGTTAGTCTGGGCTGTGTTTTGAATAAACATTTGCCCTCCTATTCTATAATATAATCCCAATAGATCGAACTTGATATAAATGCCCAGTTTGCTGAATTGTTAGGGGAAGGAAAAGGGGGAAAGGCTAGCCCACGAGAAGCCCACCATGGCCAGGGGCAGTCCCCACAATCTAGGAGCGGGAAGTGACCTTGGTTGATTTTTGAGAGGCGTCAACAGCTGATATTCCAGGAAAACTGGCTTCCAGGGGGTTCCAAGGTCATATTTTGACCCATTTTCTATCTAGAATGTCAATACCATAAAATTCAATTTAAGATGGCATCATATAACATCTGTGACACCAAAAAAGGATTTCTCTGTGAGTGGGGAAAAGGAGGGGAAGAGAAAGAATTCACGAGCATCTCAAAGAAAAAAAAAACCCACTGCTACATAACTCAAAAGTTCATGACCAATACTCACATGAACATCTTGCATCATTTTAAAGACCTAGCATTTTTATCATGGGATTTGAATGATTTTCTGCAGTTTGGAGGCCCAGGATGCAAGGGGAAAAAACATCATGCTTTCTGTCATTGATAACTTTGGTGGTCAAAAACCTTTTAAAGTTTGCACTTGTCTTGTCTCAGTAGACACAGCATATCCATTTAGTACAGCCATTAGGCTCTCCGGGTAGAACTGTGGAAATGCTGAGAGATCTCTGAGGCTTCTCAGATGACAAGAGAATTAATCTTTCAGGCATTTTCACATCATGGTGGGTGAATTAAATCACTAGTAATGTCCTCTATTGATTTTTCTGCTCTTGGAAATATTGATTTAGTTTTTGCATTAGGCTAATTAACCAATTCCCGTAACAGACCTTAAAAAAAAAAGTAACACTAAAAATCCCCAGACACTCACTACAGAGTGAGGAGCAAAAAGGCTAACTTCGGTTTACAAAATAAATATATCACCCTACACAAGCCGTAAGTGTTTAAAATTGTATATCTTGAACGTTTTAGTGTAAAAATTAAACATTCCTCAGCAACCTAACATTTGCCACATTTACTCACAACATCCAATGTTTCACAACTTACAAGCTATGGTGACATTAGCCCAGACGAAGCCTCAGCTTAGCAGATAATGAGGTGGCCTTGGAGCCTGGAGGACCAACCTTCAAATCCTGCCTTGGACACTTACTACGTGACCTCTCAAGGCTCTGGGCAACTGCATCAGCCTATCAGCAGCACAAAAGGTACCGATCTACACCGGCTGCTTGGAAGCTTGGAGGAGCCTACAGCAATAAAATCACTGACCAGTCCCTCTTCCTGTCCTAAGTCTTTGAGTACCAAGTACTCTAGGAGGGACCCACGGTACAAATCACAGATACTGTCTATAACAAATAATGCCCTATGGAGCTGGGCCTGGTAAGGACGCTAACATGGGCATGGCAACTGCATTCACACACGTTCGAATTGATTCTTAATTTTAAAATTTCACATTCTTCCTTCCTCTGGATTTGGAATATTGCTTACAGATGTCACAAGGCAGGCTCCAGTAGGGCTTTACTTGCCCATTCTGCTTAACTGTGTTTCCTTGTTAAATGATAAATGAGGAAATGACTGTGATGGCATCAATAAAAATATTAAAAATATATTTTTTTAAATCATGAAGGTAGAGAAGTAGACAGAGGGCGGAGCAAGGAGTCAGGAAATCCTGAATTCAAATCTTACCTCAGACACTTACTACCTGTGTGACCATGGGCAAGTCACTTAAGATCTTTCAGCCTCAGTTTCCTCATCTGTAAAATGGGGATGATAATAATAGCACCTGACAGGGTTGTTCAAATGAGTTAATGTATACTGCCAACCTTAGAGTACTATAGAAATGCTGGCTCTTATTAAAATAGACATTTTCTATTGACTGCGAAATGATTCTAACCTTGTGGGTGGTATCCATGTAGGGGTCCGCATCCCTTGCAGCCGCCGCACTGCATCGGACCGTGAAACACTGCAAGTTATTACTATGGAAGAGGAGAGAGAAGAGAAAGGATTCTTTAAAAAAAAATTATTTATTATATTTTAACATTCTTTTTTCAAAATTTTGAATCTCAACTTCTGTCCCTCCAGCCCCTCCCCCACCCACTGAGAAAATAAGCAACATATTATCAACAATACATGTGAAGACAGGCAAAACATGTTGCAAAAAAAAAAAGCAAGGAAAATAAATTAAGTGAAAAAAAGTCTGCTTCATTCTGTACTCAGAGTTCATCAGTTGGAGAGCATTTTTCATCATGGGTCCTTTGGAATTGTTATCAATCCCGTATTGATCAAAGCAGCCAAATCTTTCACTGTTGATTACCGTTATAATATTGCTGTTACTGCATATGATATTCTCCTAGGTCTGCTCACTTTACTGCGTCAGTTCATGTAAGTCTTCCCAGGTTTTTTTTTATCCTGAAACCATCCCCAAGAGAGAGGGTTCTGAATAAAAAGGGAGGTTGATGACCAAGACAGAGCCCTCTAAAATAAAAGTGGAAGGAGAGGAAGAGGAAGAAAAGCAAAAACAGTTTTTTCCCTTGAAGAAAATGACACAACCTTAAAAAAAAGTACTTGTGAACACTTAAATCACTGTCTGTCTGTAGACAAAATCAAATTGTCTAGCCCCCTTGAAAGGCAAAATAACTGGGGCAGTTAGGTGGCACAGTGGATATAGCACTGGCCCTGAAGTTAGGAGGACCTGAGTTCAAATCCGACCTCAGACTAAACACGTGACATTTACTAGCTGTGTGACCCTGGGCAAGTCACTTAACCCCAACTGCCTTTAAAAAAAAAAAAAGGCAGAATAACCAATGAAACAAATATATGAGGCTGAAAAACCACTCAGCATTCCAGTTTTGACAGTGCCATCATCATCATCACAACAACAACTAATATTATGTGGTGCTCTAAGGTTTGGAGGGAGCTTTATATCTATTATTTCATTTGATTTGAGAAGCTGATCCTATTATAACCCCCATTTTGCAGATGAAGAAGCTGAGCTCAGAGTGATTTGCCCAGGGTCACAGAGAGAGTAGTAAGTGGGGGGAAATAGTAGTGATTTGGGGAAGAAAAATAAGCAACATGAATCCAGTCCCAGAAATGAAAATCACTAAATGTCAGAGTCAGAAGAGAGCATCCCCAACTCCCTTATTTTACAGATGAGGAGAAAGTAAAAGAAGTTAAGTGGCTTGTTGGAGGCTGGACCACAGCCGGGCATCCTGCCTTCTGAGTCCTGGCCCACTGTTTTGTGTACTGCCCATGATGCCTTTGCCGAGCAGAAAAAGGGCTAAAACATGGTGGCTGTCACAGAGTAGGTATTCAACACAGATTTTTAGAAATATATTAATAAATGAATACTACTACCCTCCTCTTAAAAGTATCTAACAATTCTGAAAGCCTTGTACCGTTAGAGGGAGGACTCTTGCTCTGACAAAATTTGAAACTAACCACATAAAATAAGAAGGTGTCAGCCCAGGATTCATTCCACCTACTTACCAAAGCAAATGCCTTTGGGGCAGGGTATGCTTTTCTCATCACTGTATCTTCAGTGCTAACACTAAACTTGTGCTGAACTGAACACAGTAGGTACTTAATAAATGCTTGTTGGAGTGCCTCTGCCTTTGCCCAGGCCCATAATACCACAATCAACTTTGAGGACTTCCTCTACATTCCAATGAAACAGGGTCCATTGCCCTTCCCTAAACATTCCTGTATCTCTGTCTTTGCTCCTATCTCTTTCTCTCTATCAAAGTAGCCTTTCTCATCAAAAGTCTGTCTCTTTAAGGCCCAGCTCCCATACCCTTCAATGGAATCTCCCTCCCACCTAATAATGCTCCCTCATCTGAGCTCCAGCATATTCTCTGCCTCTCCTACATCACTTAACCCATGCAGACAAATATTGTGGTTATTTGCACACTGTTTATCTCCTAGTAAGAATTTATTACAAGGCACACTCCTAAGAACAAAAAGGTCTTGGGTATCTTTTATTCCTAGCTCAGCACCCACAACATAGCAGGTCATCATCATTATCATCATCTTCTTCTTTCTCAATAAACACTGACTGAATGAATAATAATGAATTATTTTGAATAATAAATGAATAATAATGAATTATTTTGGAACCCAGAAGGCCATTATTAATAGTTAGGATTTAGCAGTTCTTTCGGAAATACTCTAATGGTTTACAAATGGTTTTTACAAAAAAGAGGGATCAAAACTTCTAACAAAAAACAAAACAATATTTCCAACTCCTGAGATTAAAAGTACCAAATCAAATTCCTGAACCTCCTTTAAATGTAAAGATCCTAGGGGAAAGTTTCATCTTTAAGAAAGAATCAGTGGGACATGTATGTTAAGAAGTACATTAGACTAGGAGTTTTTAGAAGACTCAAGCTCCAGTTCAAGCTGGACCTTGGTTGCTAAGCACAAAACCTTGGGGAAGTCACTTTAGTCTTCTTATCTCTAATATAAGAGAGCTGGGTCATAACTCTAGGGTTCCTACCAGTTCATGTCAGATAAAAATATCTGAATCATTTTCTAACCTGCAGTGAATAACGAAAGTAAAAGCATAATAGAAAAACAGAATTGTTAATGATTGATACTTGGAAAAATGACAATGGAAAAAAAAAAACCCTGAAAAAAAACAACATTTAAAAAAACACCATATGGTGTTCAATCAGGCTTTTGATGAGCAAATCAGCTACCTGACATTGTAGCGTGCTGAGCTGATTGAAGAAGGGGCAAATGTATTTTTTCCTTCTGTTTTGTTTTGTTTTCTCTTTCTTGTGGTTCCTCTTATTGGTTCTAATTCTTCCTTACAACATCACTAATGTGAAAATATGTTCAGTAGGAATGTATATGTATAGCCTACATCAGATTGCACGCCATCTTGGGGAGGGAGGGGGAGAAAAAATTTAAAACTCAGCTTACGGAAGTGATTGTTGATAAATCAAATAAATTAATTAAAAAAAGCAAACCAAAAAAAATAAAAACAAACTTATCTATATAATATCTAAATTTTGTATTTAACTTAAAGGACTCGACCCCTAAAAGAGGAGGAAAAAAAAAGTTCAACGTAGAAAAAGAGTAGAATAATGGTTCACAAGAGTTTAGAATATGTTTTTTTAACACCAAAAGCTTTTGTAGGGGTATCTGTCAGTTGAGAAAACACAGTGACAAAAAGCTTGCTCTTTAATGAAACCACTGTGTTAGCCACAGTAGTGTCTACAGACATTTAGAAAAAAACAAAAATCCACTAACAGACATATCTTCAAGACATTTTATTCAGTCGACAAGCTATTGTGCTGCATATCTTGTTGGAGGTAAATAAAGTGCAAGATGAAAACAGTCGGTAAGCATATAGATTCAAAAATGTCTTGCATAAATTTCATGGTTCCCAGGGGACCTCAGCCCCTAGACTGGGAAAGCACTGGCCTGCAAAAAGACAGCAATGAGCCATTAAATGCAGCTTTTAAAAGATAAATATGAAACACTAATTTAAGACAATACATAATCTATTATGCATTAAGGGAGGCAGCATGTATAGGGAATAGAGATTTGGCCTCACAGACAAGGAGAGCTGAGTTCAATGCAATGCCAGTTCAACACTGGCTTTGTAACCACGGACAAGTCATTTAGGCTCTTGGTGTTCAAGTCAACTTTCTAAGACTATGTGGGTTGGCTGCCGGTCTGCATTGGTAAGGGGGCTTCCTCACTGGAGAGTTCCCTGTACCCAAGAAATCAGAGGTCTGGAATATATCCCATAAATACTCAGATAGTATTAGCAAGTTTACAAGGTCATAAAAGGCATTATTCACAAAACACGGAAGGAGAGACAAGGTGCAGAAAGAACCTAACAAACAACCCAAACCTTGTGATAACATGCAGGAATTGTGGGGTAAGAACTGCCTGATGAGATTTCTCTGGATACTGGTAGACCGACACTAATTCCACTGATTTAACGGCCTTATAGAGATACCCAATATGAGGTAAGGAGAAAAAACAGAAGAGGCTTAACAACTCTTTTTCCTGAGGGGAACTCTTCCCATCAGCAGTAACAGCATCTGCATTAAAAAGAGGAGAAAACAGTATTACTCTGAATAGTGTGTCCTTGCTGATACATTCAGAGACATTTTATAAATAAATCCAGTTATAAAATGCTTCTCACCCACTTTACCCTCTTCCTTTTTCCCCTATTTCTGACTTTCTGACTCTTTAAATCACCTCCAAATCAGAAGAGGAAAACTATTAACAAAGCACAGCACTCATTTAATTTGATAAACAAGATACATACCAGGAGTGAGAGAGACATTAGAGATATAAAAACAGTATTCACATCAATAATGCAAACAATAAAAAAAAAAACAAACCCACACACAATCTTGTCAAAGGGGGCAGAAAATGTAAGAAGGATATCCTTTGGAAAGGGCTGCTCCATGACTCCTTTAGAAACAGAGCAGGACATATAATTTATCTGGAAAAACAAAGGGTGAAAAATCTCAAGGGAAAGAATGAAAAAAAAAATAGAAAATAAAAGCTTAGCAGGACCAAATTTCAAACTCTATTACAAAGCAGTAATCATCAGAATGATTTGGTACTCATTAAAAAAAAGAGAGAGCAGTCAGTGGACCAGATCAGTTATACAACATACAGAAAGGAACAAACATAATGGTCTGGTATTCTATAAGCTCAAAGACCCCAGCTACTGGGATGGAGTCATTGTTTGACAAAAACTAACTGGAAAGCAGTCTGGCAAGAAATAAGGTATAGACCAGCATCTTATAACATATACTAAGCAAGACAAGCTTGAAATGAAAGTATGACTTAGACATAAAACGGGACATCATTAACTAATTAGAAGAGCAAAGAAGAAATCACCTGTCAGATCCATGGATAGGGAAAAGTTTATAACCAAACAAGGGATAGAAAAAATCACAGAAGATAAAACACTTTGTGTACAATGGAAATGTTTTGGGCACATGGCAGGGCTGGCGCTAGGGCTTTGCTGACCGGTGCTAGTGTGCATGTATCACACCAGGGAGGTCCCAGAAGACACACAGTGAAGCACTCTAGAGGAATCGGGGCCCATTTTCCTTCTCTCTACCTTCACTATGACATTTTCACATCTGGTTTGGCTGTGATTTCTGTCAGTTGTCAGAGTGTACGGTACCACTGAGGATTCGTGAGATATTCAACTAGCCTGACTATACCTTCCTTAAGGTTCATGCTTTGGGGTTTTTTTTAAAGCTCATACATGACCATCGCAAAATAAAAGGAACCCATGACATTTTAGGCTCCTGAAAGGCCATCTTCCCTACTCCCTACCCCTAAATCCTAGCCAACTTTCTGCCTATCTAAATGCTACCAATCAAATGAGATAATATATGTCAAGTACTCTGCAAACCTGACAGTACTATATAAATATTAGCTAACATAATATTAATTAATTGCATAATGAATAGAGTTGGCCTTGGAGCTGGCCTCTGACATGTACTGGCTGTATGACCCTGGACAAGTCACTTCAGCTCCTACTGCTTGAGGTAGCTGAGACTCTCAGTTGCCTAGAAGGTGCTGACCTGTGCTGAAAGAAGGAGTTTCCTCATCTAAGGAGGTCCTTATGCCAGTGAAATCACAGGTGCAGTCCCTCTCATCACAAGTGGAATGGGCCCTTATTATTAAATCACAGTTCCCCTTCGCTGGAAGCCTTCAAAGTGAATGACCAACTCTCAGGCATATTGTATTGGGGAACCCTTTTGGGGTACAGGTTGGACTAGCCCCTGAGGTCCCTTCCAGCTGTGAAATTGTGATTCTGTAATGTGATCTGCCTTCCATCCACTTCCCAAGCAACCTTCTCAAGTGAATTTCCTAAATAATTTTCTAATGATAATTAATCCATTCTCCTTCATGTTGCAATTTGGGTATATGTTTCCCTGTTCCATTGATGAGACTAATCTCTGTGAAGGAAACTTGTCCTCCATGTAGGAGCTCTTATACACTGAATGAGGGATATAGACCAGCAGTCTATGGGCCAAATCCAGCCTGCAATCTGTTTTTCCACAGCCCAAGATCTAAGAATGGTTTATGATGGGTTAAATCTGGCCCAGCAGCCAATGTTTGCTGATCCTTGATTTAGACTATCATCGTAAGATGAGAGCTAAGAAAATAGGAAAGGGAGATCAGAGGAAAGAAAGCTGCTCCTTGCGAATAGGAATTGTTTCACACTTTGGTCTTGTATGCAAATGGTACCTGGCACATAGCAGAACTGAAAATTCGAACTCAAGACTTCTGATTCTGAGTCCAGAGCTTTCCACCCCACAACCACCCACACTTTCAGACTGACCTGTTTGGTAAATAGGCAGCAACTGGAGTGAATGCAACTTGGTGTCATCAGGAAAGACATAGGAAGACACATCTGGCGTAAAACGTCTAGAGGAGAAAACAGACCCAACTCATTGCTGAACGATTTCTGCTTACAAAATACTTCGACGGTGTGGTAAGAGCAGGTTTTTGTACCTGTAAAGGATGGGGTGCACCCAGGAAGGACTTGCTCTGTTGTCATTTAACCCCATTGACTCCAAGGTAACTGATAGGCCAGACTGCCTGCTCACCTCACCAAGGAGCTCTAAGGGTTTCTGACAAATAACAAAATCCTCCGACTCGAGCTGAAGAGCTGATAGTGTATAAGCACCACTCTTTTTGCCTGTAAAAATAAACTATGAAGAGTAAAGACAGGCAGCATGCAGCTTCAATGAAAGATTCTGGATGAACTAACTTCAAAACAGTAGATCAGCTGGTACAGTGGATAGAGCTCCAGCCCTAGAGTCAGGAGGACCTGAGTTCAAATCTGGCCTCAGACACTTGACACTTACTAGCTGTGTGACCCTGGGCAAGTTACTTAACCCTGACTGCTTCGCCAAAAAAAAAAAAGGCAATAGGTTCAGCTGACATTTACATAGCACTTTAAGATTTAAACACAGCACTTTACATGAATTACAGGTGAGGAAACTGAGGCTCTGTTAAGTGACTTGCCCAGCTAGAAAAATACCAGAGACATCTTGGTGTCTCCTAACTCCAACTCCCATGTTCTTTTCACTCTTATCACAACAGCTCACAAGATTCCATCAGTAATTTAAAAATATGAGCTGTATTCCACAGCATTACTAAATACCTAAATATTTTCTTTAATTTTTAATAAAAAATAAAATACTGTGGCCCAGTAGACACAGCGTTGAACCTGGAGTCAGGAAGAACTGAGTTCGAATCCCTCCTCAGACACTTCCTAGCTGTGTGACCCTAGGCAAGTCACTTAACCTTTATTTGCCTCAGTTTCCTCAACTATAAAATAGGGATAATAAATAGCATTTACCTCCTGGCGTTGTTGTCAGGATAAAATTAGATAATATTTCCTAAGTGCTTTCCAAACCCGATAGCACTACATACATGCTAGCTGTTATTACGATGACTCTGAAGGGATCATCATTATATCAGTAAAAATATGCTATTTAAAGAACAACATCACATTTCAAATCTATGGCACTTTACATTATTCAAAACACTTCCACAAACATTTATCTTGTTTGTTCCCCACCCCCACCCCCAATCACAAAAAGCTTATGATATAGGTGGCATAGGTGGGATCACCTCTGACGAGGAAATTTGACAAGCAAAAAAATTTAAGCCAAGCTATAGCTACATTCATACTAAAAGGTCTTCAAATCCCCAGCATACATTCGATGTCCTCCATGAATAAGCAAAGGATCTGGGATTTCTTCGGGGTGGGGGGGGGGGTGTCCCAGCATGTAGCCTCCCTCCACCAGGGCCGATCCATCACAACCTGGCTACGAATCAGCAGGTAAGTCATAGGGAGTTGTGTAAGACACTTAAGAAGGACGTGACCTGCCCAGAGTCACATAGCCAGCTTCATTTTATAACTTCCTGACTCCAAGACCCGGCACTCTATCTACTAAGGCCACGTTGCTTTTCTGGTCTATTTCATTAATATGCACATTTTAAAAATAAAATGCATCAGCCTTTCACTTAGGTCACCTAGTACTGACTTTTCCCCTGCAGGCCAAAGCAAGCTAAATTTCACATTTACCAGCCTCCGTGGTGGCCTGTCTGGCCCGGGTGTCCTTTGTCAATGGGGAGGGGTCAACATTTGTTTCATCTTTAGGAGCAGTCTCCAAATGCAGGATTAAGACTTCCAGATCCGTCATTACTGCAATATATCCAGCACAAAATGAAATTTCTACGGGGAGAACGCTCTCTATGTGTATGACTAAGGTGCGTTCAAAGTCCAATATGGAGACTCCCTTGTTGACGACCTGCCATTTTAAACTAAATAGCACCAGTTTATTGACGCAGCCGACGAGAAGATCTCCTGTCACGGGACAAGAAGAGACGCAGAGCGGGGGTTCGGACAGAGGGATCTCAATGATGGACATCTGGTCTTTGGAGGCTTCTCGGAAGCAGCCCTCCAAGCGGTAACCCACCATGCGAATACACACGCGAGAGTTTTCGGTGGTCCTGTTTCTCCAATTCACGTAGGCTCGAAGGAACGTGGCTTTGTTTTTCTCCTCAATTGTCACTAAGTAGTCTCCTGGGGCGGGGGGGGGGGGGGGGGGGGGAAGGTGGAAGAAAGGAATAGGAGTATCATTAGAACCTAAAATTGGGAAGCACATTTACTGAATGCAAGATAGGAAGGATCTGTGATCAAAGCGTCACAGGGAACTCCAAAGGGTATTACTGGTTCTATCACCTACCCGTGTGATCGAGCGCCTCAGTTTCCTCATTTGTAAATAATGGATTTGGACTTGATGGATTCTAGATTCCTCCTAGAACTCAAAATGTTATCTTGGTAGTTGTTCTAGGCAATTGCCTGAGAACCAGAGGTGTTCAGTGACTTTCCCAGGCTCACAGTGGCCTGTAAATATCAGACGTGAAGGATCTGAATCCATTTCTTTCCAAATCCAAGCTCAGCACTCTATTCACTAAACTGGGGCAGTCTCTACTACACATGTATGGGACAGCTACTAAATGTAAGATATTGTGTTTGAGGTGGGAGGAGGTACATGAGTACGTTTCTTTCTGCAGGGGAAAGGAAACATTTACTGAATATGATTGGAAGAGCAGTTAAATTAAAGAAGAAAATAAGAAAATCAATCAAGTCATCTCAACTTAGGAATCCTCATTTTTTCTTCCCATGAGGCATTTTTATTTTTATAAAATCAGATGCAGGCATCCAATTATGGAATGTTAAGAGTGTAAATAACCTATAATAAAGTATTCATGCAGGGGATCAACTTCAAATCTATTTCCTTAGGCAATGTCGTTCTGGCCCCGGATCTATAGGTGAAACAAACTGCTGTCCTCCTCTTCTCCTACCTCGCCCTTCATGTTTTTCTGGTACTTGTGTGACATATTAAAGGCAAGTGTAAAGCGGAAAATCTGGCAGCAATCAGGGGAATCTCTATTTCAAGACATCACATCTTCATGAGAGACACCGAGAAGAAATGAGACAAAATATAAATCTTAAAAAAAAAAAAAAGGCAGGAAAACAAAATACACTTTAAAACGAAAGAAAAGTAGTTATTTGCTTATTCCCCTAAATTTATAGGCTGTGGCTGAAGCCTTTCAAGCAGATACCTATGTGAATCACCAGGAAATGGGTAGACTATCCGTGCCACATGTTTCTTCTCAACCCAAATGGCTTATTGAACTAATAGATTTCATTTTATCATTAACACTAGAAGGACCAGAATTTAGGAAAACTTCAAAGAACTAAGCTGCATCAAGTGACGCTGCATTTTTTTTAATACATAAGACAAAGAAAACAGAGACGAGATGAAAATTTTTATTTCAAAGTAAAATTATAATATTTTGCATCAATTGGTACATTTGGTCCCTCTACTGTTAATGTAAAAATCATAATCATAGTAACTAGCATTTCTATGTTGCTTTAAGGTTTACAAAATATGTGTATATCTATATATATATATATCTATATATATATCTCTATACACACACACATACACACACATGTGTATATATATATGTGTGTAAATATGCATATGTATAGACAGACACACACACACACACATACATACACACACACCCTCCTTTCAAGCAACAGATAAGACTCCACTGCAGAAGGTGGTGAAAAGCACAGGACTTCCATGAGTAAGAAGTTTCGCTTCTTTCAGGGTGGAGGACAAAGGTCACCAGTACCAGTTAACTCCTCTTGCCCCCCCCCCCCCCCCCCCCCCCCGAGGCAAACCAAGCTATGTCCTTACTGTTACCAGAATAATTTAGAGCTGCAATCATGATCATCCCATATGCTATAAATATTTTCTCCTGGGTAGGAAAAGAGTTTCATTTCCTTTCCCTTCCATCATTCTTCAGGACTTTCTTCACATCAGTTCCCTGCTGGTGACATACTGAGTGGGTCTCTGGGTCTAGTAAAATTAAGGGGGTAGATTAGAGGATGCCTAAGGTCCTGCTCAGCTCAAAATCCATAATCCTATCATGACAGATTTCAACCGCTTTCTAGCCTTATGCTATTGTCAACTAGGTGAAGTGGTGTGGACAAAGCTCTGGGCTTGGAGTCAGGAAGACCTGAATTCAAATCTTGCCTCAGGTATCAGCTGTGAGCTACTTCCTTAGGTACTAAAGGGATTGGCAAATGCACTGCTGAGTCACTACTTGTGATCTTAAAATGCCTTGGAGGCCCATAAAGATGCCCAGAACCGGAAAGAGCAAATGTCGTTTTGATTTTTTAAGAGCATGGCGTCTTTTACCTATGAGGTAATGAACCTGACTTCTATTCCTGGCAAAGTTCTAAAATACATTATTAAAAGGATGATTTGTGAATACTTAGAACAGGAAACCCTAATCATAAAAGTCAGCATTGCTTCATTGTGACCAGGTTAGGCTAAACTCAATTCCTTTCCTGATTAATTTTTACATGGATGGATTAGAGGAATATTGTACACACAGAGTAAAATCAGGTTTCAGCAAATTACTCTACTTGTAGACAAGTGTGGAGTCCTGATTGGGAAAAAAAATCATAAAATACAGTAATAAGTGAAAAGCCATAAAACCTTAAACTCTGTGAAAGGTGAGAGCCTGAACACGGTGACCTGTTTACAATCTTAACTTAAGATACAAAATTATATTTTAGGCACTGAATCAAAATTTAAGATACTATGACCTATGAAAGCCAAAACAAGAATATCATGACCTATGTGTGACCACACACAAACTTATATCTGGGCTGTATAACGCTGGCTTAACTCCCCTTATTACTAAGCAGAAAACCAAAAATACCCACCAATCAGTAGTGACGCACTCTCTAACTCCTCCTGCCTTGGTCTGTTTTCTACAATTACCAAGAGGATTTTGAGGGTTCTTTAGTGGGGATGCACTGAACGTCTGGCAGCCATCCCAGATTGCCCCTGTTTTGTAAGTATTCATAACGATTGAGTAAACTACTACCTGTAATTGATACGGAGATACTTGGCCTCTTCTTTAGGTATCAAAATACCCCATGGTTATGGGGGAGGTACAGGGTTCCCCAAACAGGAATTCCGGACCTTACAACCAGAGAGATGAAGGCTACGTGGTGGGATGGTTTGTTCAATGACTGGAACCAATGGATGTTTCTTAAGGGCTTAACATTAACTTGAAGATCTCCAATGAAAAGATCCAGATAAAGATAAAGGCAGAGATGGCACACTTATCAAATCTGTGAATGACACTGATGTGAGACAAGATGTAAGATCTTGCCAAACCTTAGGAAGAAACTGGGGGTGGGGGAAACTGTAAAAATGGAAATTATTAGGAATAAATGTAAAGTACCATACAGATTTTAAAAATCAACTTCAGGGGGCAGCTAGATGGCTCACTGGATAGAGCACTGGCCCTGGAGTCAGGAGGACCTGAGTTCAAATCCAGCCTCAGACACATAATACTTCCTAGCTGTGTGACTCTCTGGGCAAGTCACTTACCCCCAATTGCCTCACTAAAAAAAAAAAAAATCAACTTCACAACTGCAGAATGGAGGAGATATGACTCTACCACAGCTCTTATAAAAATGTGAGAGTTTCAATGAACCGCAAGTTAAAGGTACCTCCACGACTGGAATGATCATTCTCATGCCTAAATTTCCTCCCAGATGATGTATGAAATGCCTTTAGCAGTCAGTCTTTTATGCTATGTTATTAGTACACTAAGACATTAAACTATGAAATGATTAAAATACCTCTGACAAACTTATTCCTTGTGAAGTATAATTAATCAACAAAAAATAAATAACAGATAACACCTTTCCTATTTTGATTGAGGGTGGCAGTAGAGGAGGGGAAAAAAAGGAAAATTGGAAGATTTGGAGATCTCTATTTCAGGGGAGGGATAGGTGAAGAAAGGTTCTCACTCAAGGACTTAACCAGGGGCAAAGGAAGAGGAAGATACAGAAGAAAATGTAAATAACCATAGCATCACATCCTTCTCTGTTCTGATGAAAGAAAATGAAAGTGGAGGAGGGGAGGAGGGTTAAGGGTGGTACACCCCAGGGAAGTCAGAAACAATGTCTTGAAGCCAACTGAAGTCAAGCAACAGTGCTCCCTGTTTGTAACCTATGGTTTTTTAGTTTTTCACAGATGACTTAAGTTAGGAAGGAATTTAGTTTCAAGTTATCTCCATGCTTATTTTTTTCCCTACTGCTCTCTCTCTCTCTCTCCTCTCATATACACACATACACAGACACACTCAGACACACAGAGACAGACAGACACAGACACACACACCCCTGATCTAGTGTAGAGACAGCTGGCCTCCAAGCCAGAAAGACCTTGGTTTAAAAGGCCTCTTAACATACACTGGCTGTCACCCAGGGCAAGCCACAATGTCTGAGTGATCTCAGCAACTCTCTGAAGACTGTCCGGTGCAGAGAAGGTGCTGACCCGAATTGGTCATTCCTTCATCTGGGAGATTTCCTACACCAATGACATCATCAGTCCAACACCCTTTGGCAGTCTGGTGATGCATAAAATAAAAGACAAAGGATTAAAGGAGAAACCTTTTTTGAAATTTCCATCTGAATTCGTGAAGCTCCTGAACTCTATCCCTCCTTGGGGAGGAAGGGTCCACAGACCCCATATTAAGAACCTCCATAAATCTAGAAGCGTATCCACCGGTAGTCCAAGAGGCCCAGAAATGATGATGACAGGGAAAAGGTCTAACACCTGCCTAATTCCTCCCATCTACAGTACAAAATATAAATAATATAAATTTAAACCCAACAACATAGCACTTCTGTATTTAGATATCTGGTCAGGTAGAGGCAGGTTTAAATATCAGAAACTGGGAATGGTTTTGGCTCCAGACACTTAAGTCTTTGGGGACGGGGTTTTGACTTTTTTTTAGGGGGGGAAGGAGAGGAAGTGACACCATCAATTACACTTTGGTAAATAACCAACTGTTAAGGTCTTAGAGATCAGCTAGTCCGACATAGTCGTTTACAGCAGAGGTCACCAGGGTCCAGAGAGCTGAAATAACTTACAGAGAGGGTCAAGATGGCTAAAGACGACCCAGCATTGGAAGCCAATTGTCCGGAGGCACAAAAAGACCAGGGCTCTTTCCCTCCCTGCACCCCAATATGTCACATAGCTAGCAGTGTCTGCAACACTTGTCAATCAAATCATGATTTTAAGGGAGCGCTCTAGTGTTACAGGCGGCCAGCGTGCAGTGAGTTTTTCTTGTAAAAGAATAATCATTTTGGTCATGTGAATAAACTGCTTTCCAGTTTAACTGATCCGTTGCTGGATTCCTGTGTCTTTTCTGAAGCACCCAAAGGATCAGGCACAGTGACAAAAAGCAAGAAAAGGTCCCCGCACTCACGGCGCCCACCGCGGGGACAGGCAGGCGAGGACGCACAGGTGACTCGCTGGGGCGGGCTGGGCAGGTCTGGGGAGACCTGGTGTAGGAGGTGACCCGACAGGCCCGGGTGCGAGCTGCCAAGGAGGTCACTGGGGCAGACCCTACCCGGGAAGGGGTCCGTGGGAAATGGGCATGCACCCCGGCGGGCACGGCAGCAGCACACGGCGGATCCAGCCCCGACCGGTCAATTCCCGGGGTCTGGGAAACCCCAGGAGGGCACGCCAGTTTCCTGCTCCGCCAAGGGAGAGGGTGGGGCCGCGCGGGCTCCCAGGTCTCCCGCGGGGCTTCCTCTTCCCCTCCCCCGGTCCCCAGCTCGTGGGGGCTTCGGGTGCGCACGCACGCACGCAGCCACCCCACCCCGACCCCGCGGGGGGCCGCGCGGGGGGGGGGGGCGCCCGGGCTGACAGGGGCGCGCAGGGGCGGGGCGCAGAGCTCCACGCCGACTTACCGGGCTCGCTGTAGCTCAGGTGCAGCACCTGGCCCAGCGTGGAGAAGCAGCAGCGCGGCCGTGCCGGCTCGGGAGCCCTCGCCTCCACGGAGAACGCCTCCACCTTGCAGCCCGCCGCCACGAAGAGCGCATCCTGCCCGCCGCAGCACACGCGCTCGGGTTCCTGCTGGCACCGCACCACCTGCTGCGAGCCGAACGGGTGCAGGTTGTACAGCCGCACCATGGCTCCGGGGCCGCGGCCCCCCGCCGAGCCGGGAGGGGGAGGGGACGCCGGGGGCGGAGGGCCCACTTCCGCGAGCGCCGCCGCGTCACGTGGGCGGGCGGGGGGCGGAGCCCACCCGCTTCTTTAAAGAGACCGCGGAGGCGAGCCCTTGGACCCGAGCCTGGCCAGGGTCGGTGTGCCGGGGCGTCTTCTGCGCCCAGCGATAGGGTTGGAGCCCTTCATTGTCGGCCTGCATATCTGTACATGCGCATACATATATGTATCTCTTAACTTGCCCTCAATCCATTGTCCCATCCAGCTACCTGCATGTGTGTATATATACACACGCAGCTATGCGTCTGATAGAGATATAGAGCCCTCTGTCCACTGTCTTATCTAGCCCCCCTGCATATATGTAAACACACATGCATAGCTTTACTTGATACAGAGATTTACCATTCTATCCATTGTCCCATCTAGCCAT